TGTGTGTGTGTGTGTGTGTGTGTGTGTGTGTGTGTGTGTGTGTGTGTGTCCCATCCCACCCTCCACCCCTGTCTTGGAGCCCCAGGTGCTTACTGGAGAAGCAGCTCCCGGCTTGAGAGGCCCAGCCGTTCATCACCACAGAGGCGGCTCCTCTCCTCATCAGCTTCCAGATCGATCACGTGCATGGAGCGGTTGGGACCCGCTATACAGAGGCCAACAGGGAAGAAATAACAGTAAGTGGAGTGGGTACCAACCCAGGCACTTAAAGCTTAGGAGCTCCTTGGTTCTACAATGTGGGGAAGGTTGACAAAGAGCTAATGCATGAAGTAGGGCTCTGACAAGGGGTCCAAGGAAAGAGTTAATGCCCATGGATAGGGCTCTGACAAGGTGTCCAAGGAAAGGGTTAATGCCCATGCCGGGGACTGGCACTGCAGGCGATTGGTAAAAGCTTGATGGAGTTACAGGGCATAGTGTATGCACTGGGAGGGCAGAAGGAAACTCAGATGGCGAGAGAAGGGGTGGGGAGGGAGAGAAGAGGGTGTAAATAGGGCTGGGTCAGCGGGGCTTCTCTCCAGCCACAGTGGGGTGGGGAGATGGGTCTGGAGCTTTTGGAGTGTGGAGGAATGAGGGGATTGGTTGGCCTCCCTCCTGGAGAGCTGACTGCCTCCATTTCTTCCCCCTGCTGCCCCTCCTAAAAGTGAGCTGTGAACTCCAAAAGGCCTTGGGGCCCTGTGGGTGAGCCTGAGGTCAGGCAATGAGAACCAGATGGGGTTAGCAGGCCCATTCTTGACTCCACCCCCACCTCTAGCTTGGAGCCTGAGCTCTGGTGACATCACCCCAATTCTTCCCTCCCCCCACCCCTTTCCCCTTAGGTTCTGTACCTTTGAACCCAGGCACTGCACGTCCCTGCCGGCTGGAATTAGTGCCATAGGAAGGTTCTGGGCGGTTCAAAGTGTCCTTCTGGCGGGCCACAGCCACAGCAATGCCCACGGGGGGCTGTCTCACCTCCCCATCACTATGGGGGGCCTCATGCTCCCGGCTCCGGGCACAGTCAGGCCTTTCTAGCTCCCCTTGACCCTTGCCTGACTGGAACTTCACTTCCTGTTGGACACAGCTGGCTTTGATATTTCCCAGACCCACAAACGGGGGCTTCTGGCCAACGATAAGTGCTTGGTTGCTATACTTAAGCAGGTTCTTCATGGCAGAGACCTCATCCGGTGGAGCAGGCAGCTCTTGGGATATGAGGGCTGCCTGCTGCAGGCTGTTGCTGAAGGGGTCAAGGTAGGAGCCCTTCCTCTCCTCACTGATGGAGATGGGGGGACCCTGACCCCCATGGACCGTCCAGGGTGGCAGGTGGGGCCCATTGTAGCCCAGGGATGCCAACTCAATGGACTTCCTCTGGGCTTCAGCCCCATTTCCCGTCTGTTCCATCTCAGGTAACAGGTGCTGCTGATGACGTATCCTAGCAACCTTTTGGGCACTGGGGCCTGGGGCCTCTTTGGCACCCTTGTCTAAAGTGCAGCAGGTTTGGCTGATTTTCACACACAAGGGGTCCTGGTGGCCAGGGCGGGAGCAGTCCTGAGAGGGAGGGGGCATCTCAAAGTAGCTTCCTTTCTCGAGGCCACCTTTTGGGGGTGCATGGGGTAGATTAGGAAAGGGGCCTTCAGATCCAGTGCTATTGAGATATTCTAATCCCTTCAGCCTTGGGTTGAGGGCTGCCTCAAAGCCAAGCCTCCGTTCCCCCTTGCCCTCGGCCTTCAGGTGGGGATAGGAGGTTCCATAGGACGCTGGGTGGTCAACACCCACCTCATGGTGCCGATCCTTCCCCTCTCCTGCCAGGCATGGCTCTGATGCCACCTGGAATGACCGGCTCTTGTCAGGTAGGTGCCCCACAGAAGGCACAAAGGTGGGCCCACTGAGTTTTAGGTCTCGGGTGGCTTTGTCTTGAAGAGGGCATAACATGTCTGGATTGGAGTGAAGCTGTAAGCAAGGAAATGTCCCAGAGCTGGTACTAAGTGGGGGTGGCATGGCTGGCAAGCTGGAGGGCACCGTGTAGGAAACTGAATGGTGAAGCATCTGTCTCCGTTCCAGACATTCACTGTATGGCTGGTTTGGTTCATGGTGGCCCAGCTCCCGCTCCCGCTCAGGCCGTCCTGCGTCCTTGGCGCAGCGGCTGGGCACCACCCCTACCCCGTGTCGAGGCAGCACACCCCCTGTACAGCTGGCCAGGACGGCTTTGCCCACCTCGCCATTGAGCACCTTGGTACTCAGGAAGCAGGAGTTGAGGTGCTTGGTTCGGTTCTCACAGGTACTTCGAGGATGGGTACTCTCCTTGCAGTGTCCGTCAGGAGTCATGGGCATTACCAGTTTGTGCCGTTCCTTCACATCATCTTCTACTGGCCGATCCTTGCCCTCTGCCTTGCCTGCCTTCTCCTTGCCCAGTTCCTTGTTCATCAGGAATCGGTCAAACTCCTTAGGGCCTTTCTGGAGGTGTCCTGCCTCCCTATCTCGGCTGCAAGAGCCAATGGGGTGACCTGGGGCTGCTCGGGCAATGCTGGGGAAATTGTGATTGGGGGGCAGAAGTGTGGGCTGGGCGGGAAGGTTGCGTAGATAGAAGTTATCTGGAACACAAATGAACAAAAGGTTAGGAGGAGAAGCAGTTCGGGATCCAAACAGTTCAATGTCTTAGCATAACAGAAGTCCAAGGAGACACCCCTAACCAACCAGAGGTTGCTTATTTTTCACCTTCAATCAATCGACAAGCATTTATGAAGCCCCTACTATGTGCCAGGCACTGAGTGAGGAGCTGGTGATACAAAGACAAAAATGAAAACTGTCTTTACCCTCCAAGAGTTTATGAGAGAATGAGAGAGTGAGCTAGAGAGAGAGAGATAGGGAAAGAAAGGGGGTGGGGGTGGGGGGAGGGAAAGAGAGAGAGCAAGAGAAGGGGGAGAGAGATAGGAGAGGGAGTGACAGACAGTGAGAGAGAGAGATAAGGGAGTGAGTGAGACACAGAGAGGTGGGGGAGGGAGAGGGAGTGAGAGAGAACCAGAGAGGAAGGAGAGAGAAAGAGAGAGGTGGGGGAGGGAAGGGAAGGAAGGGAGAGGAGGGAGGAAGGACAGAGAGAGATAAAGACAGAGAAGGAGGGAGGGAGAGGGAAAGAGAGAGAAGGAGAGAGAGACAGAGAGACAGAGAGAGAGAGAGAAGAGGAAGAGAAAGAGAAAAGAGAGAAGAGAGAG